CCTTCTATAGATAAACCTTTCCTTAACTTTTACAATAACGGACTAATACAATATTTGTCCTTTTGTGATTGACTTATTTCACTCAGCATAATGTCCTCATCTGGGATTTTTAAAGAGGGGAACTGCAGAGATGTGTAGAGGGAAGGACTCACATCTGGGTGACCAGTGGGGAAGCTGTCAAAGGAGAATGTCTACATTAGGGAGGGAACAAAGGCAAAGAGAGGGGAGAACAATGTAATTGGAATCTCAGAACTCACACTGTAGAGGTAAAAGGAGGAGGCAAGGAAGAACTGTTTCTCCAACCTGCTGCCCTATTAGAAGGAGTTTAGTGGGTAAGGCACTTGGCTGGTAACCACCAGACCAGTGGTTCAAAGCCACCAGCTGCTCTGTGGAAGGAAGATAAGGCAGTCTACTTTGGTAAAGATTTATAGCTTTGGAAACCCAATGGGGGTCACTATGAGTCAGAATCAACTTGATGGCAGTGGGTTTGGTTTTGGTTTTGCCCTGTGTATTAACCACAGATTAATTATGAAGTCATATTAATGTGTCATTTAAAGCAGAGGATACCCAAGGCAGCCAAGTCTATATTTTTAAAAAAATCACATGGAGAAGATGGGACAATATGAGATATATTTGGAAGTAATTTCCTTAAATACAATAAAAATTACCAATGTGTAGAATGGCAGAGATATTTCACATAACAATACCTCTTCAAGTTTCCCCCTAGAGTAAGATGAAGTGTATAGAACACGGACAGACCAAAAGAACACCATAAAGTAAGGATGATCCAAGGTGAGATGGTTCGCTGGTTGGGAGAGTCAGGCCAGAGTGTGTCTATCACTTTCTTAGAAATAAGAGGACTGCAGTGAAAACAGGCAGGTGTGTTTTAAGGGCCCATGTCCTATTTACCTCAAAGGTATTATATGCACAGGGTATTTTCTTTGATCAGCGCTATCTGAGGTTTCCCATCCCCTAACTCACATGAAAAAACCAAAATCAAACCCACTGCCATTGAGTCGATTCCAACTCATAGCAACCCCCACTGGGTTTCAGAGGCAGTAAATCTTTATGGAAGTAGATTGCTCAATCTTCCTTCCTCAGAGTGGCTGATGGGTTTGAACTGCAAGACTTCTGGTTAGCAGTCAGATACCTTAGGCACTACGCCACTCACACTCTGAAAACAGTGGAGGCTTTCCATGCTTGTGAATTGCATAGCTGTGCAAAAGTTAGCAAAATGATGTGCAAAATGATTGCACCAGCTATCCCCGAGTAATTATCATATGCAAAGGATTGTACTAGACAGGGCATGACATGCTGTGGAATATAAGAAATGACCTTACCCTTTGAGGATTTACTGCCTGTGATGGTTAAGTTATAAAAGCCTGCAAACATTTCTTCAAACAACCATACTATTTACTGAAATAAAAGAGGGACTGCCTATGAGACTTTCAGTAGTGTTTTTACTAAATGCACTAAAAGTAGATTTTGCACCTTCATTAATACCTTTCTTATTTCTCTCTTCTGCCAGATAATTTTCAGGATCAGATGAAAAGGGAACTAGCCTACCGAGAAGAAATGGTGCAACAATTACAAATCGTAAGATGCATTTCTACTTGAAAAAAATAAACGCAACTTGATTTGGTTTGTTTTCAAAGCAGTCCATATGTATGAAACTGTCGATGGTTTTGCTGTGAAATCCTTTGGTCCACTTACTTCTCAGCTGGTTTATATGCTAATTACCAAGAGATTTACTTAGACACAGGATAAACAGATGTGTCAGTTCATTTCCTAGAAATATAACTACCTACCATGTGTTAGTAGTGAGGTTTTTTTTTCTTTTTTAATGTGTTAATAGACAGCTGTCTGTGGGTAAACCAGAGATACCTGGATTTGCTTCCTCTGAACACACTTCCTACGCCACTGCCGGGATGTCACAGAAGCTCAGGGAAGGGCAACTGTCTCCCATCTTCCCTTCCTTTCCCTGTTCTGACCTGAGCCAGCCCACGCTGTCAATAAAATTTCATGCAAACACAATTAATTGATTGCATTCACTTGAAGGATGATGAAAAGAAGTGTATTTTTTTCCCAAATGATGAGCATTACTCACTTTATCCTAATCATTCCCAAAAGTGGACAATGGCTAAGATCTATTTATACGGGAATAGGAGGATGTTTGATACATAAATATGGGTGGTTGTTCTCCCGCCCCCACCCCTGAATTCCTTACCTTTTGTCCTGATGCAGATACATCTGGTATTAGTCACTGCTGCTTTTTTTTTTTTTTAATTGTGATTTGAGTAAAAATTTATAGAGCAAATTCACTTTCTATACAGCAGTTCACATACACTTTGTCTCATGACATTGACTACAATTTACCCCAATGCAACAACTCCCCTCCCACTTCCTCCCAATAGTTACCTCTTCCCTGTGCCCATCCCTCCATGCACTCCTACCCCGTGAGCTGTCTCCCTGTGCATAAGCAGCCCTTCTTTCTCCCATGATTTATCCCTCCAAGGAGTGTATCTACATCAGGTAAATGTTCAACTCCTATGCCTGTCTTTTGTTTGTCTGGAAGCCACAGGTGTGGATTCAATTCCAGACCTGAAGGGCAGCTAGGGGCCATAGTCTCAGTGATTCCACCAGGCTCTATCAGACCAGCAAACCTGGTCCCCCTCCTTCCCCCCCCCCCGAAATGATTTTGAATTTTGTTCCACATTGTTTTCCCTCTCTATCCAGGATCTCCTACATAGACCCCCTCCAAGTGGTTGACAGTGGTAGCTGGGCACCATCTAGTTCTTCTGGTCTCATAGTCATATAAGCTGCAGATCGCATGGTATACCAGTCACTAGGACTAATTCTTTCAATGAATCTTTGGTTTTCTTCATTCTTTGCTCTGGATGGGGGAGACCCATCATTACATCTAGATGGCTGCTTGCAAGCTTTTGAGATCCCAGTCACTACTTGCCAAAGTAGGAGGTGGAATAGTGTTTTGTGTAGTATGTTATGCCAATTGAGCTTGATGTCCCCTGTGACTATGGTCCCAAGCCACAGCTTCAACTACTAGGTCCCTCTGGCTGAGTCACTGGTGCTTTTAAAGCATCTCCCCAGCTTCTTCATTTTCATGAGTTGTTGTTGTTGTTCGGTGCCATAGAGTCCATTTTGACTCAAGATGACTCCATGGGACAGAGTAGAACTGCCCTGTTACAAAGTAGATGGGAAAAATAATTTCTGTTCAACATATAGATGTTAGGTGCTGTGGGGTCAGCTCTGACTCAGAGTGACCCTGTGCGTAACAGAACGAAATTCTGCCAGTCCTTCCCCATCCTCACAATCCTTGCTTTGCTTGAGCCCTTTGTAGCTATTGTGTCAATCCATCTAATTGAGGACTTTCCCCTTTTAGCAAGCATGGTACCTTCTCCAGGGATTGGGCCCTTCTGACAGCGTTACCAAAGTGGGTGAGACAAAGTCTGGCCATTCTTACTTCCAAGGAGCATTCTGGCTACACTTCTTCCAGGACAGATTTGTTCATTCTTCTGGCAGTCCATGATATTTTCAGTATTCTTCACCAACACCTCAATTCAAAAGCATCAACTCTTCTTCAGTCTTCCTTATTCATTGTTCAGCTTTCACATGCATATGAGGTGATTGAAAATACCATGACTTGGGTCACGAGCACCTTAGTCTTCAAAGTGACATCTTTGCTCCTTAACACCTTAAAGAGGTCCCTTATGTCAGATTTGTCCAGTGCAGTAAGACATCTAATTTCTTGACTGCTGCTTCCATGGAATCCAAGTAAAATTAAATCTATCTATGTTTGTTTGTTTTAAAACAGTGGCTGCCAGAGGCTGGGTGGTAGCAGAAGGAATGGGGAATTACTGCTTAATGAGTACAGAGTTTCTGTTTGGGATGATGGAAAAGTTCTGGAGATAGATAGTGGCAATGGTTATACAGCACTGTAAAGTAGTTAATACTACTGTATTGTACACTTTCTCTCCATATTTGTAAGACATTTGTAATCACCTGGATATGGCTTGGTTTGCTTGACATTTTTGAGCTGGTCTGTGTCTGCCTTCTACCCTTAAGCATGTGTCTATGCATAGGACAGCCTATCTTGTCTGGATAGCCAGGTATCTAGTTTTCTGTCAGGAGTCTGTGAGGTGGTTATTAATGTTTCCTTTTTGCATCCTGTTAGTGTTCATGTAGGTTTCTAAGAGTTACTTTGTGTTCATGTAGGCTTCTAAGAGTTACTTTTAAAGTCCTCTTGTGTTCATGGTCTCATCTGGTTCTGAGGGTAGTGCTGAGTTTTTCCTCGCTCTCAAATGCCGGTCAACAGCTCTCACTTTGAAAACTGTTTGATAACTTGCTGCTTAACCAGAATCTTGCTTCTTGTTTCAGTTTTGCTTGTGCATTAGCTTCGTTGGTACCTAAATTTGCTGGGGGAGCAGAATAATTTTTTTTTCGTTGATTGGTAACAAATCCTCCACAGAGACTAAAAAAAAAAAATCTATCTTCTCTTCTTAGCTTTTGACACTTATATGACAAACCCAAACCAAATTCACTGCCATCCAGTCAATTCTGATTTATAGTGACCTTCATAGGATTTCCAAGGCTGTAAATCTTTACAGAAGCAGACTGTGTCGTCTTTCTTCCACAAAGCTGGTGGGTTCGAACCACTGACCTTTTGGTTAGCAGCCAAATGCCTCAACCACTGCACCACCAGACCTCCTTTACATATATGATAAGAGTTCTTAATTATTCGCTGTGAATATACCTATTTTCTTTACCCAAAGGAGCGTTTTTAATATATGATCAACTGTATTGTTGCTGTGCGCCAGCAAGTTCCTTCCAACTCATAGTGACCCTAAAGGACAGAATAGAACTGCCCTATAGGGTTTCTAAGACTGCAGTCTTTCCAAAAGCAGACTGCCTTATCTTTCTCCCACCCAGCAGCTCATGGCTATAGGAGACTATAAAATGTTAAAACACAATCCCATTGCATTGACTCATAGGGACCCCATGTGTTAAGAATAGAACTGAGCTCCATAGGTTTTCTTGACCATAATCATTATGGAAGTAGATGGACAGCCTTTCTTCCACAGTGCCTCTAGGGTTCGAACCACCAACCTTTAGGTTAATAGTCACATGTAAACCATTTGCACCACCTGGAGAATGAAGTATGAACTAATTTTACACAAGGTGTAATTTTCACTCTTAAAAGCTGCAATACTTGCAAAGGGAGAAATGTGATTTCAGAGTGGTAGTGAGTGTGGCTGAGTGGACAGTAAGAAAGAACACTAAGTATTTCTTTTCAGTGCTCCTGTTTAAGGCCACTTACATAAACTTTTAATCACTTAATTTTCTTTGACATTTGCCCATTTCGTTAGTGAAAGAGGAAATGATATTGCATCCATATAATAAGTAGGTAGAAACCCTGGCGCACACTGGTTGAAGTGCTTGGCTGCTAACCAGAAGGTCGGCAGTTGGAACCCTCTAGGCGCTCCATGGGAGAAAGATGAGGTAATCTGCTTCTGCAGAGATTTACAGCCTTGGAACCCTATCAGGCAATTCTACTCTGTCCTATAGAGTCGCTATGTGTCCAAACGGACTCAATGGCAGTGGGTTTGATTGGTTATTAAAAAGTCGATAATATTACTAGAAGAAAACAATGGCTCAAGTACTTTGAAATATTTGATACAGGGAAAATGTAAGTTAGTAGTACTAAGCATTTTTATTATACTCTATAGCATTCATCTAGCTGCCCCATGTTAGTATTTCCCACTCCTCAAGAGAGCAGTCCTGCTCTGTCGCATGGACTTGCTGTGAGTTGAAACTGACTTGACAGCAGCCAACGACAACAGCAACATCATTACTGAAATCAGTGAAGATACCTTGAGAACCTAAGCGTTTGTAAAATAGACATGATTTGCCCCTGCTGCTTCTTCCCCTTCTGCTCTGTCCCTTCCCATGAGGTCCCTAGGGTTCTCAGCGGCCTCAGCACCTAACACAGTGTCTCACATCACATGTTGTCAGGGGCTGTCGAGGTGGCTCTGACTCATGACAGCAACAGAACAAAATGTTGCCAGTCCAGTGTCATCTTAGGATCATTGTTATGCTCAAGTCCATTGTTATGGATGCTGTATTTTGAGTCTCCCAACCTCTCATCCTCCAGCAGAATAAACTAAAACCAAACTCACTGCTGTCACATGGATTCTGACCCATAGCGACCCCCATTGGATTTCCAAGGCTATAAGTCTTTGAAAGCAGACTGCCTCATATTTCTCCCACGGAGCAGCAATGGGTTTGAACCACCAACATTTTGGTTAGCAGCCAAAATGCCTTAACCACAACACTGCCAGAGCTCCTTCCTAGCAATATACAAGACAAGATTCTGTTGTGATCCATAGGCTTGGCTAACATTCAGAAGTACATTGCCAGGACTTTCTTCCTAGTCTGTCTTAGTCTGTAAGCTCTGCTGGAACCTGTCCACCGTGAGTGACCCTGATGGTGTTTGAAATATGAATGGTATAGCTACCAGCATCATAGAAACACACAAGCCACTGCAGTATGACATACTGACAGACAAGCAGTAGAGCATCAGATGTTGTTGTTGTTGTTAT